TCAAGTGCACATGGAACATTCACAAAGATAGGGCATATGCTGGGAAACAAGGCAAGCCTCAATAAATTTAAGAAGACTTAAATCAAGCATCTTTTCTGACCACAATGCTACAAAACTAGAAATCAACTACAAAAAGAACCCTGAGAAAGTCACAACTATGTGGAGACTAAACAACATGCTACTGAACAGCCACTGGATCAATGAAGAAATCAAAAAATACCTGGAGCCAGATGAAAATGAAAATACAACATACCAACTCTTATGGGATGCAGCAAAAGCAGTACTAAGAGGGAAATTTATAGCAATACAGGCCTACCTCAACAAACAAGAGATATCTCAAATAAGTAATCCTAAACTACACCTAAAGGACTAGAAAAAGAAGAACAAACAAAGCCCAAAGTCAGGAGGAGGGAAATAAGAGAAATCAGAGCAGAAATAAATGAAATAGAGACTAAAAAAACAGTAGAAAGGATCAATGAAACTAAGAGCTGGTTCTTTGACAGGACAAACAAAAGTGACAAACCCTTAGCCAGACTCATTAAGAAAAAAAAGAAAGAAGACTCAAATAAATAAAATTAGAAATAAAAGAGGGGAAATTAAAACAGATACCACAGGAATACAAAGGGTTTCAAGAGAATACCATGAGAAGCCATGTGCCAAGAAATTGGATAACCTAGAAGAAATGGATAGATTCTTAGACTCATTCAACCTCCCAAAATTGAATCAAGAAGAAACAGAGAATCTGAATAGACCAATCACAAGTAAAGAGAAAACAGTAATCGAAAACCCAAAAAACAAAAGTCCAGGACCATCTGGCTTCTCTGGTGAATTCTACCAAACATTCAAACAAGATTTAATATCTATGCTTCTCAAACTATTCTAAAATAGTGAAGAAGAAAGGATGTTGCCTAACTCGTTCCCCTGAGACCAAAGCCAGACAAGGACAACACAAAAAAGGAAAATTACAGGCCACTATCACTGATGAACATAGATGGAAGAATCCTCAACAAAATATTAGCAAATTGAAAACAACAATACATTAAAAGGGCCATACACCATGATCAAGTGGGATTTATTCCAGGGATGCAGGGATGGTTCAACATCTGCAAATCAATCAACATGATACACCACATTAACAAAACGTGGAATAAAAACTACATGATCACCTCAACAGATGAGGAGAAAACATTTGACAAGATTCAACATCCATTTATGATTAAAAAAACTCTCAATAAAATGAGTATAGAAGGAAAGTACCTCAACATAATAAAGGCCATATATGAAAAACCCACAGCCAACATCATACTCAATGGGGAAAAACTGAAAGCCATCCCTCTGAGAAGAGGAACAAGACAAGGGTGCCTGCTCTCACCCCTCTTATTCAATATAGTACTGGAAGTTTTGGCCAGAGCAATTAGGCAAGAAAAAGAAATAAAAGGGATCCAAACTGGAAAGGAAGAAGTAAAACTCTCACTTTTTGCAGATGACATGATTCTATACATAGAAAACTCTAAAGAATCCACCAGAAAACTATCAGAAATAATCAACAACTACAGCAAAGTTGCAGGGTACAAAATCACCAGACAAAAATCAGTTGTATTCCCATACACTAATAACCAACTGGCAGAAAGAAAAGCTAGAATATAGTCCCATTTACAATTGCAACAAAAAGAATAAAATACCTAAGAATAAATTTAACCAAGGAGGTGAAAGACCTATTCACTGAAAACTATAAGACATTATTGAAAGAAATGGAAGAAGACATAAAGAAATGTAAAGATATTCTGTGCTCAAGAATTGGAAGAATAAATTTAGTTAAAATGTCCATACTACCTAAAGCAATCTACAGGTTCAGTGCAAACCCAATCAGAATCCCAATGACATTCTTCACAGAAATAGAACAAAGAATCCTAAAATTCATATGGGGCAATAAAAAACCCAGAATAGCCAAAGCAATCCTGAGAAAAAAGAACAAAGCTAGAGGCATCATAATCCCTGACTTCAAAACATACTACAAAGCTATAGTGATCAAAACAGCATGGTACTGGAACAAAAACAGACAAACAGATCAATGGAACAGAATCAAAAGCCCTGAAATAAAACCACACACCTAAGGACAGGACAGCTAGTCTTTGACAAAGGAGCTAAGAACATACAATGGAGAAAAGAAAGTCTCTTTAATAAATGGTGCTGGGAAAATTGGACAGCCATACGCAAAAGAATGAAAGTAGACCATTATCTTTCACCATTCACAAAAATTAACTCAAAATGGATTAAAAATTTGAATGAAAGATGAGAAACCATAAAACTCCTAGAAGAAAATACAGGCAGTACATCGGTCTTAGAAGGATCTTTTTGAATACCACGTACACTTGGGCAAGGGAAACAAAGGAAAAAGTAAACAAATGGGACTTCATCAGACTAAAAACCTTCTGCAAAGCAAAGGAAACCAGAAACAAAACAAAAAGACAACTCACCAACTGGGAGAAAATATTTGCAAATCATACATCTGAAAAGGTGTTAATTTCCAAAATATATAAAGAACTCACACAACTCAAAAAACCAATCTGATCAAAAAAATGGGCAGATGATATGAACAGACATTTTTCCAAAGAACATATGCAGATGGACAAAAGGCACATGAAAAGACAGCCAACATCACAAATTATTAGAGAAATGCACATCAAAACTACAATGAGATTTCACCTTACACCCATCAGAATGGCCATAATTAACAAGACAAGAAATAACTCATGTTGGAGAGGAAGTAAAGAAAAGGAAACCCTCACACACTGCTGGTGGGAATGCAAACTGGTGTAGCCACTATGGAAAACAGTATGGAGATTTCTCAAAAAATTAAAAATACAAACACCATATGATCCAGCTATCCCACTACTGGGTATTTATCCAAACAAACATATGGATAAAGAGAACAGATTAGTGGTTACCAGAGGGGAAGGTGGTTGGGGGAGGGCAAAAGGGATAAAGGGGCACGCACAAATATACGGTGACGAAAAACCAGACTATTGGTAGTGAACACATTGCAGTCTATACAGAAACTGCTATAGCATAATGCACACTTGAAATTTACACACCGTTATAAGCCAATATGACCTCAATAATTTTCTAAAAAACTAATCAGACAAACTGATGGTCTATTTGGAAAAGAAATGTTTAATTAAAAAAATAAAACATCTTAAAAAAGAAAGACTCAAAAAAAAAAAAGAAAGACTCTTTACCTGCTAATCTGGTCTGTGTACATCTATTACTATGTCCTCACTTCTACTTGTCATTCAAATCAAATTCCTTCTTTACTCTTGGATTACTTGATTCTTATTTTATCCAGCTAATACCACTTAAATGAAATTACTTCTGCTAATAGTCAACGACAATCTTTCAACTGCAACACAAAATTGAAACTTGCTAGTTTTTTGATTTACCTAGCCTCTAAGTATTTGACAGTGATGACTAGTTTACTCCCCCTTCCATGAAACTCTGCTTCCTTTGTTTCCATGACAACACCCTCTGCTGCTTCTCCTTCTGCCTCTAGAGCTGCTCCTTTAGCGGGGTGTGGGCGGGGGTTCCTCTTTCTCTCTCTCTTTTTTTCCCTGATTCTCTCCCAAATGCCTTTATCCAGGATACAAACGCTCTTTATGTCTTACATATGCTCCTTGAGCAATCTGATTATCAGCCATTCTATCTATATGTTTGAGGGCAAGCATTCTTTATCAATATCTAACTATATAAACCATTTCTAGAGCAATGTCAGGGTCCCACAGGAAATTCAAACACAACATCTTCCAGACTGGACTATCTCCTCGTATTCCCACCCACCAAAAGAAAAAAAATCTGTTTTCCTATATTCCTATTATTGTTCCATCATTCCCATAATTATCTCAGCCAGAAACCTGGGAGGTATCCTAGACTCTTCCTTTCTTAACCTCAGTATCTAAAAAGTGTCTAAGTCTTTTCAATTCTTCTTAGTATCTCGAGTCCCTCTTCTCTCTGTCTTTTGTTGGTTTTTTAAGTTAGTCAAATTCTAATCATCTCTTATTTGGCCTATTTCCTGGCCTGGCCCCCTTCTATTCTTCATACTGTGTACAGGGAAATTTTACTAAAATACAAATTTGATAATATGACCATGTGCTTAAATTTCTTTCATGGCTCCACACTGCTTTCATGAAAAAGTTTACATGTCTTAGCCTAACATGTATGAACTTTAACCCTCGACCTACTTTCCATGTTCATCTTCTATAGCTTACCCTTCTCCGCTACGCTCTAGGCTCACTGAGCCGTTTGGAGTTCCCTAAACTTGCCACATTGTTCACTTCTCCTGGAATACAGCCTTCCTGTTTGATTGGCTTCTACTGGCCCTCATCACGTCAGCTCTAGCATCCTCTCCTCTGAGAAGCCTTGCTACACCTCTCTTACCCCACAGTGGCCTTCTGAATTTACTAAGTAGACTTTACCGTATCAATATTACTGATTTCCTATTTAGATTGATTTCCTATTTTTAGATTGAAGTTTGGTCAACAATTTATTCATTTTCTTTCAAATAAATGGAAGTACCTCTCTAATTTTTACACATTGTTTCCTTTGAACGAAAATTCATCTGGAGTCACAATTTTAAGGAAACATTCTCTGATGATTACACAAATTCCCTAATATGACCCACACTGATTCCTCTGCCCCAGTAAGACCATGATAATTACTTTACTTACCTAGGCATATTTATGATAGTTCTTTCTGGTCCCTCACATTAGAATGTAAACTTATAAAGAGCAGGGAATTCTGTAATTCATAAGGACTTAGGACACAGTTACATGTCTCTAGGAACTTTATAAATAACTAGCTGAGTTTTAAAAATGAACAGCAACGAAGATTACCCAAGAAAAATAACTGGGTTACTAGAGATTCAAATTAGACTATTAAAAGGAAATATTACAAATGTATCATCTTATTTTAATACTGCTTCTCACTCTGATAACTTCCAGACCAACCTTTGTCTTGTCGAACACTCTCCTTCTTCTTTGGCTACCCATCCAACATCAGCAAAAGATGCCACTGCACCCTCTCCTGGGTAGCTGGGGCTCCATTCTGTTGGAGGGCTGGTAAGCTATAAGTTACAAACACAGAAAGTTCTTCATCTGGCATCAAACTGTTAGAAGAAAACTTTTTAACCACCTAAAGGAAAATCATCAACTCTGTTTTTACAAACACATGGGCAGTTTCTAACATTTCCATCGAAAGTCCCCTTAAAAGAGACCATTAGTTATGTCATACTGTTACCTAATAGTGTATAACAATCTCTGAATTATAATTTAACTGGACTCAACTTTTATTTTACAGGTCAAATGAGATTGGTCTAAAAAAAAAAACTCTGCCCATCCTAAAGTATTAAGAAAATTTTAGAATTTAAGCATTAGTAACCAATTTTTTACGATGAGATTTAGTGGGAAAAAAAAAAGTACAAGAACAAGCTAGTGACCAATTTATGCTAAATCTGTAATATTTTTAAATGGATATTATACAGATATGTTGTTATAATGTTGAAAACACATTTTTAAAAAATCCTTAAATCTCTTGATTTTTAAATAAAAGTATTAACTATATTAAAGAGCAAAAAATATAAATAGCAGTAGAACAGAATTCTCTAGCTAACCTTGAACACACAGATGAAACAACAGAATATTCTGAAATAAATACAACAGAGAAAAAGCATCCAAGTTCTGAAATTTACCTTGAAAAAAATGGAAACTTAAACTAAAGTCTTGTTCTAAGTATAATGCCTCACAAGCCAGGTGGCCAATGAATAATAATTTAAAACTAAAGTTATCAGATTAATATACTACTTCCTAAAAGTTGGAGGTTTAAATAAAAAAGAAAATGTAGACTATCTAATTGAAGCAAAAAGTTTAAAAGGCCAAAGAGATTTACTTACTTATCAGAAAGGTTCTACTGTAACCCAGGCTTTGTTGGAACCTTCTTGCCACTATCAGTGCCAGATCAAGCTTTTGGAAGCTACGCTTAAATAATGCTTCCCCCTCAAATGTAAAATATACCATGCAAACTCATAATACTAATATAGTTAAAAATTTAAAATATCTTTAATATTATGAATAAAATGTTAACTAAACATACTGGCTACTGGTATGTGTACCCATTCTGATATCATAATTACCTAACATTATCAACTTAATAAAGAAGGATCAGAAAACTGACTTTTTTTTTTTTTGAGGAAGATTAACGCTGAGCTAACATCTGCTGCCAATCCTCCTCTTTTTTGCTGAGGAAGACTGGCCCTGAGCTAACATCCGTGCCCATCTTCCTCTACTTTTATATGTGGGACGCCTGCCACAGCATGGCTTGCCAAGTGGTGCCATGTCCGCATCCAGGATCTGAACTGGCGAACCCCAGGTCACCAAAGCGGAACGTGTGCACTTAACCGCTGCGCCACCGGCAGGCCCCAGAAAACTGACATTTTAACAATAACATAATAAGAACATCAAATATTTAAAACGCCTTAAATTTTGGCTTTTGGGGAGGATAGGCTTACAGGCAAGAGAGAAAACAAGTGGTATTAAAAGAGTAGAAATTTAAAAACCTAATCCTGGCCAAAAACAAAAACAAACTAATAATGGAATTAAGAGGAAAAGGATTTCAAAATACCAATGTTTTAAAGTATGTGGAATAATTGTGGTCAGAAGAAAAAAGTATAAGCTTTAGCAAGTACACTGTTGAGGGATATGATCAAAGAAAAATCAAAAAGAAGATTTTTGTACTCCCTTATGTATTTCAGAAATTTACCCAAAAAAGTCAATAAACACACAGATATTCAGTAAATGGGTATTTTATACAACTGAAATAACATAACTGAACTGGGCATCACATCTGATCTCAAGAGACTGAGGAATCTAGTAATGTTCTGTTCCATCCGTTATTGAAAACAGAATGGTCTATTAACGTTCCTCTAACACTATAATAATGGGGAGATTCTAGGCTTATGTGGAGATGCTTGAACAAGAAGGTCCTCAAGCCTTGTGGAAGCTCCCAGAAGATATAGTATTTAATGAACTGTTTTGTACAAGTGAGAGATGATAAAATCAAAACCTGAATGGTGCTTTCCTAAGGTGCTAGCTCATAAAGATCAATCCGATTATAACTCTTTGTTTAGAAAATACAATTTTGTTCCAATACAGTTACTAGTTGGTAAGAAGTTAGGTACAGTTAAGACAAATAAAATCTAGTTTTGACCTCAAGACCTTACTTTCCCATAAAAGTTTCAAAAACTGCTGTTTTCCTCCCAGATATTTATTTATAAAAGGAAGCAAAACGATACTTTTCTAAGAAGAAATTCTCAAAAATATAAAAGTTGATCTATTTTGTGGCAGCTTTTCAGAGTATTGTATAACATAATTAAAGATGAAACAATATTTCTCAATTTTACATCTGAAATATTTCACATAATAAAAATGAGATGTTGCTTTTTGCACAAACTTAAAAAACAACAAAACAAATTATTCCATGGACTTAGTTTGCAATCTTACTAAGCACTGACTATATTTAATCACTGAAAAAACACCATGTCTATAACATGTGCTCAAACAGGTGAAAATGCTAATGGTACTATCAAGAACCAATTTCAGAATTGATAATATCTGTATCATTCCTAACTGACATCCTGCTCCACAAAAAAAAGTAGTGTTAATATTTAAGTCACCTACCTACATGGTAACAGTGATTTGTGCCACTAAAAAAGAAGGCTAACAAAGTCCCTGGGGAAACCAAATTCATTCAAAAGACAAAATAAAACTGAAAAAATAGTAATACTAATCTTTTTTTAAAAGGGCTTTTCATTTGCTGCTGAAATAAGCACTGAGTAGCCTAAGCACGAATGAGAAGCACAATTCACGGAGTCAAGTTCCAGTTATGGTGAAGCCAGTGCAGGCAGGAGACTGACGGTATGGAATTTTTGGAAGTACAATGTAGACGCCACTACTGACATGCATGGATGACTGACTGATGGCAAGTTTGAAAGAGAAAAGGCCAACTTACTGAAGGTTCCAGCAACGTCCTGTCCTACCACAGCTATTGTTAGTAGGAAAAAACAAAAACAAAAAACAGTGAAGGGAATAGAAGGTTTTTTTCCCCCAAAATCAAGGGCATTATAAAATTTAAATTTAAAATCAGTGCTTACTGAAATTCCTTTCAGAAAGTATGAAAAACATTTCATTCAGAGCAAAACTTCAATAGCAGCATTGTATTTTTACTATTTTAAGAAGTTCAATTCAACATTTGATACAATCTATTCAAAATTCAATATATTTCAAGAATTTTACTAAAGTAACTTTAGATAATTTAAAATATTCTGATAATGTAAAACTATAGTAAGGAAATTGATTCCCTTAATAAAAATGCATAAAAGAAAAATACAAAGCTTGTACAAAAGTTGAAATACTTAGAATGAAATAAATATTAGAAGAACTAACTTTGTCCTCAAGTGACTTTTCATAAAATAAACACACTGGTTCTAGGAACTAGGATTCTCTCAGTTTCTTGTCAAAAAGGGTGTAACAGTAAATAGACCCAGTGTATTTTACCACTATTTGTTTATAGCCAAATGCAAAATATGTACTCTTAAGAGCAACACAGTAGAATAATCATCTCTAGTTTTTTTTTTAATTTTTAATTTTTAATTTTTTAAAGATTTTATTTTTTTCTTTCTCTCCCCAAAGCCCCCTGGTACATAGTTGCATATTCTTTGTTGTGGGTCCTTCTAGTTGTGGCATGTGGGACGTTGCCTCAGCATGGCTTGATGAGCAGTGCCATGTCCGTGCCCAGGATCCAAACCAACGAAACACTGGGCCACCTGCAGTGGAGTGTGCAAACTTAACCACTCGGCCACGGGGCCAGCCCCAATCATCTCTAGTTTTGCTTATAAATTCAATTATTCCTCTTTTTCTACCAATTTCTACCATAGTAAGAAAAACTGAAAGGAGAAATTCTGTATTTTAATATAGTGACATAGAGTCACACCAAGAAGCCAAGAGGTATACCTGTGTGGAGAACACTAGTCTGAAGGATGAAAACTCAATTAAATATCCTAGCTGAGACTCAGTCACTAATGTTTTGGAGTATAGTGGTCACTTTTTAAAAATTGAGCATTTATTAATGCTTTCTATTCATGATGCACCTAGAATGGGGGAGGGGAGAGAGGGTTAGGAGGGAAAAGGGAGAAGGAAAGGGACAAGAGAGACAAGAGGGAGGGAAATGTGCATCTCTCAAAATAACCTAGAAGTAAGTAACAGTATCCACATGGACAAACAAGTCTTTTTTTTTAATTTTCCTTTTTATATACTTACTTTTTTATAAATTTTTTTTTTTTGAGGAAGATTAGCCCTGAGCTAACATCTGCCACCAATCCTCCTCTTTTTGCTGAGGAAGACTGGCCCTGAGCTAACATCCGTGCCCATCTTCCTCCACTTTATATGTGGGACGCCTGCCATAGCATGGCCTGACAAGTGGTGCATAGGTCCACACCCAGGATCTGAACTTGTAAACCCCAGGCCGCCGAAGCAGAGCGTGCATACTCAATCACTGCACCACTGGGCTGGCCCCAGAAACAAGTCTTAAAGAGGCCAATTACTGAGAATAAATAAAATGTCACAAACATTTGTTATTTACACAGTTAGGCTTCAAATGACTATGCCATGGTACCAAATTTATAAAACATAATACTCATATCTGAATTCAGTTATCCTTAACAGCCATTTTACAGCTAAAAATACCAGGAAATGGACATCCCGTACAGCATAAGATCACGTGCTAGCATATTCCACATTATCAAACAGTAACTGGAAAAGTGTTAAGTTTAACAATGATTTTTAATATTAATCCAGGTACTTACCTTCAGATGGCTCAGACCTCAGTGACCACTATCCTACACTAAGTTTCCTATCTCACTTCCTCCTGGCTGACTGGCCTTCTCTCAGTTCCCTAAACAATAACTGCTCTCTTGCCTTACATTTTCCACACATACTGTTCTCCCTGCCACAACACTCCCCCCACCTCCATCCCTCTCCCGGGTTCTTTGCAGGCCTGGCTCTTTCTAACCCTTAACTGCATTCACCCAAAGAAGCCTTCCCGGACCACCACTGTTATCCTCCCCGCTGCTATACTACTTTTTCCTTCAAGGCATTTAGAACAAATGGAATCATATCCTAGTAAGAGTACTGAGCACGTCTGGTTCACTGCTATGTGCACTGCGCAGCTGGGTGTGCACAATGTATGGATTTCAAATATATTTGCTAAATAAAGATGGGCTGTGAAGGTGGCTGTTTTACTTCCAAATTTAGTCACGGTGTGTGAACTTTAGTGAAAGCCTCATTCATTACTTGTTGGGTTACAGAACATTCCCTCCAACCACCAATTCCAACAACCACTCCTAGCAATCCGAGAAAACAGCGTGGGGCATTGTTACCACGGGGGAAAAGGTACTCCAGGTTAAATTACGCAGGGGCCTGTCAGTTACAGGGCTGGGATTCAAACTACCACACCACACTGCCAAGTCCCACTCACCCTTATCTGCAGTACTCACGGTAGCTTTTTCTTTTCTTTTGCCTTAAGTTTTTTTAAGTGTACTGTTTACTACCCCAATAAGCTTCACTTACATTCTGTTTTTCTTTAACTTATACAATTTAAAATTTATAAAAATGCATCCCAAAAGTGCTTTAATGATTACTTTCATAATTGCCAATAGATAACTATGATACTGCTTTAAAGAAAACTTTCTTTAGCAAAATACTAAAACACAATCTGTGCCTGAAGCCTTCGATCTTGGCTGCATAAAAAGCTCCTGAAGAGGTTTTAAAAACCAAATGTATGAAATTCAGATTTAGTAAGCCTTGAATGGGACCTATATTCTTTAAAAGCTCCCTGAGTGTTTGTGCAAGGAAGGTGGGCATATAAAACTACCTTGGAGGATGGGGCCTGAGCATGGATATTTTATTTTTTAAAGCTCCTGGTGATTTACTTAAAGATTTTATTTTTCTTTTTTCTCCCCAAAGCCCCAAGTACGTAGTTGTGTATTTTTTAGTTGTGGGTCCTTCTAGTTGTGGCATGTGGGACGCCGCCTCAGCATGGCCTGAAGAGCGGTGCCATGTCCACGCCCAGGACCCAAACCAGGGAAACCCTGGGCTGCCAAAGCGGAGCACATGAACTTAACCACTTGGCCACGAGGCTGGCCCCTCTCCTGGTGATTTAAATATTCAACCAGTGTTGAGAACCACTGCAAATCAAAACCTCTGCACCCCATTCCTCCCAATCTCCCAGAGCTCACTGCTTTTGCAAGTTCCTCCATGATCTGAATTTTCTTTTGGTTTCATGAATCTAGAGAAAAAACTAGGAAAAAAAGGAGGACCTATTCTCCCACTTTGTCTTAAACTGGGTTCCACCTCCAAAGGGGCTACAATATCCAAATATACAAAATGCTTATGGCCGGAAGTGTGTAGTTGTGACTCAAGCTTGAAATGTACACACCTGAAAGGTGTAAAAGGGCCAGGGGAAGTTTATTTTTCTTAATTAAAGTAAATGTGAAGGGTCTACGGATCCTGTTTTTGAGTGTAAAACAGCTAACTCATTTCTAGCACTCACGAATTGAAGTTCAGGGAAAGCCAATGAAGCCTGCAAGGGTATAGGCAGGTCTTCTTCAAAGCACACAGCAAAGAAACACTGAGTGCTGCTATATGCTTGCTTACATTTATTACCTCATTTTATTCCCAGCCCAACAGTCATTGTGCCATTAACTGGATGAAGGTGTATATAAATGAGTTGCTCTCTGTTCTGACTTGTGACCTTATAAGGTCAGAAATATACAGAAATTCAATTTGTAAAGTCAAGGAGTTGAATTAGAGAACCAAGTAAGCTAATGTGCTATTCAACTGTAAGGTGGCAATAACAACAAAATCACCACCATTAGCACATGTTTATTGTGCACTAATTATGTACCAGTTATCACACTCGGGGCTCATGGCTTCACACGGGTTATCTTGTCTAACCCTCCCAATGTAAAGTAACATGCCCGTTTCACCTATCATTTATGTAAGAGTCTTACTTGTCCATAGATATATGGGTCAGCTGATGAGAGTGAAAGATAGTGTGATCTAGAAGGAACATATAAGGCTTAAGATTTCAGAGGTGAAGCTGTTTTGAGGGTGACAGAGTTGAGGTGTTGCCAGAAGTGTGGGTGCTGGAAAAGGAATGGAAGTGAGAGTCAACAGGAGTAAAGGAAATAAAGAAAATATGAGGCTAAGTTTCAGGTGGGTCCTCCAAGGACACAAATCACCCAGGACAACGGAGGGACTGGTTTTGACTACCTAACTCCTGCTTCTGAATTGACCCATAAATGCCCTATTCTCAAGGTTAAGCCATTTCAATTTTTGTCTCCTGAACATGGGCCTATAATGGTGTTGACCCTCCCTGGGTTCACCTGTGGTTCCAGACTTTCTATACAAGTATTTACCCACGTTGGACTCCTAGTCAGTCCAAATACACTGCGTATCAATCAAATCCCCAAATGAGATATAAAAATAGCAAAAATGCACTTTCAATTTTATTACCCTAAATAAACTCCATCCTTTATATTTTTTGAAGACTACATTTTTTATATTTCTGATAGATGTAGTAAAAAATAGAAGATACAGAGGAATAGTAGCAGATTTAAAATATCTAAGTAGGAGACAACATACTGATTTTAATATTGATATTGAATCTGAAAAGACTCAGTATGCTACAAAACTGCCTGGAAGTAAAAATCTCACTATAAACAAATGTCTTCTGTCTTCCACTACATTCTCAAGTAGGTCACCAATATTTCTCTTACCTTACTCCTCTCCTTATGTTAATCTGTATCTTGTCGAATGCAGTTCCTGTAGTAAATCTAATATCTTATTCCACTCATACCCTTTTAAATGAGTGATAAAACTGAGAAAGAGAATCCTTCCAAGGAAATGTACTTGGCTCTAGTACTTTGGCCCATTGACTGTCAAGGCAGATTTGGGTTGCTACCAGAAAATGCTAGATTATCTCCATGGCCTTTTACATGTCTCTAGCTGCATGAACACAAATGCTGAAGCAACTTCTCCTGCAACCAGGTTAGGTAGCTAGATAAATAGACAAAAACAAAACTCTAATCTGTTGGTTTCTAGATTGATGCACAAAGGTTTTCCCAGTCAATCTGCAAGCAGGATTATGAGCACAACAATGAACAACCTTGTTAGTCAACCTGAGCAAACATTAATTTCTACCACTTACTTAGGAACAAACTTCTTTCTTTTTTTTTCAGTGTGGAAGATTTGCCCTGAGCTAACATCCACTGCCAATCTTCCTCTTTTTTTTTTTGCTTGAGGAAGATTAGCCCTGAGCTAACATCCATGCCAATCTTCTTCTATGTCCTATGTGGTATGCCTCCACAGCATGGCTGACGAGTGGAGTAGGTCTGCACCAGTATCCAAACCTGTTAACCCAGCCTGCTGAAGCAGAGCAAACAGAACTTTAACCACTCAGCCATGGGGCCAGCCCCAGGAACAGATTTTTACCTTTGTCTACCAGGATGAGTGATTTATGAGTAAGACATAATATCAAATAAGCTTACAGGGGCACTTTTGAGCATTTGAATTATGAGTTAAATACATCTTCCACATTTCACATGCTAATCTATTATTTAAAATTGGTATAGATATCTGCTGAGTTTTATATTCTTAAATGTTGAACTGAGAGATTTTGTTGTGTTACTGCTGTAGAGAACTACTGAAAAACAAGAACAAAACAGGGACCAGCCTGGTGACGCAGCAGTTAAGTTCACACGTTCCGTTTCTCAGCAGCCCAGGGTTCGCAGGTTCGGATCCCGGGTGCGGACATGGCACTGCTTGGCAAAAGCCATGCTGTGGCGGGCATCCCACATATAAAGTAGAGGAGGATGAGCATGGATGTTAGCTCAGGGCCAGTCTTCCTCAGCAAAAAGAGGAGGATTGGCAGTAGTTAGCTCAGGGCTAACCTTCCTCAAAAAGAAATAAATAAAAATGTGTTCCAATAAAACTTTATATTAAAAAAAAGAACAAAACAATGTGATGCACATGTAATACTATAACAACAATAAGGAGCAAAAGCCCAAATCAAGAAAATAGCAATTTATCTCCAAGTGAAGAGTAGAACTGCTCCTGATTTGGTGCTAGAAGAGAATGCTAAGACCTGAATGTTCAAAAGCATTCCTAATTCAGGGTTTGATTATCACTCACTCAGAGAACCACAATTACCTCTTTGTCTTGACGCTGTCATTGCCAAGGCAATGGTCTCCTACAATTAATGCTAAGCTTTAAAACGAGGATGGAGAAAGCAACTTACACGGCATCCACAGAAACATCTAAAAATAAACTAGGGGAGAACAGACTGGCTGAACAAAGAGGAAGGTGTCGTAACTAAAGAAAACAGTGGTGGTACCTGAAGCCTCCTGAAGTAATATAAGGCCTAGGTTTGAGGTCACCTGGGAATTAAAACTGCTTGGCTTATTATATGCTTCTAAATCTTTGCATATTTATCTTTAAGAAGGATAAACGTCTTAAGGAGTTGAATAATCACTTTACAGAGAAACTAAAATTAGAAAGACGTTACTGTGGTTTTTATCCTCTTTCATTTTATTGATAATGGCATCAACAGGAGGAAATGGTTCAAAAAATACTTTTAAAGCTGTTCTACCTATTTATATTTCTAATGTACATATTAACAGAAAATTTTGAAAAATACAAAATATAGTACCTGAAACTGAACTCTTGGACACTGGATCAAGGATAAATTAGTACCAATTTTCCTTACGATACTGCGAGATGAACCATATGGCTTCCCAGACCAAAGTACCTGAGGAAGTAGGAAAAGTCAAAAGTTTAATTACAAGACGTATAAAACTGTTAATACAAAGCATTGGTCAATCAATTGCATGACATGCTAATACATTAACTAAGGGATCAGAATGCTCTAAATGTTATGGGAAAGGACCTAATATTTCTCCATTAAAAATTAAAGAACATAAATAGCTGGTTATTATTAGTGCAATGTTTAATGGAAGGCATTACACAAAAATATAGAAGAATAACTAATAATTGTAAAATAATACTGTATTAGGAGTAAAAACTTTATTTTCATTAGATTTCCAAACTATTCTGCAAAGGAAACACTATTTTATCTTCTCTGCCATATTTTAGTTTTAGAATTTTATATACACATAATTTTTTTAAACTATGAGCTACTTTTGTTATAATGGACTTTTCAAAACAAATCCAAATCAGTACAAAGTTCTGAATCTGAATTTGTACCACACATTCGGTTGCTACACAAGACTGTCTGGCCAAAGGTGAGTGGGGGCCAAAATGCAGCTGCACTACATCCTCTCATGAGGTCTCCGCCCCAGGGAAAGACACCTTTTCCTAATTTACACAAAGGTGCTAAATGGGCTGGCGGTGGCCCTAATGAGAATTTCTCAGATGAAACCATAATAGACACAGGACATCATCCTATGCTGAAAGCAAAAACAAACCCCAAAGCAAGAAGCAAACAAAAAACACACATGTAGAATGTTAAATAATTACATATTATACCTTGGAATTTCTCCCCAAGTATATGATCTTTCCTTAAAGAGAAAAACTATCCATCTGTTTTGAGTGCTACACTTGAAAGCCTGGACAGAAGAGGTAAAGAGAGGTGGTATGCTATTAAAAGCAATTTTACAAAAGAATGAGAATGATATGACTATTATACTGAACTCATTAAACTTTAACATTCAATTATATCCTAAAACTACATAAATAGTACCAAATCAGCTGGCATGTATTCTGAGCAACGGACAGTGACCCCTTTATAAAGTCACTCCATGGCCATTCTAATTTAAACAGTATGACCAAGAAATAAATGTTATTGTTAACAGTGGTGGCTCCAACACATAACCCAATCTAGACCTTTAGGCTATCTTAAAGCATGCACAACCTGTAAAATGAGCATAGAAGCAATCTGACTTCTTAGATTTTAACAACCAAATACAATCTAGGGATAACAGTATGAGTCAAAGGGAGAATCATGGGGGCATACATAATACTTCTGACACCTGCCTCAGTTTTTATACAATGCTCATCATCAACATGTTCGGTTTTAATGACTGTTACCTGGGAGAGTTCCAGGAAGCACTATAACCTACACTGGCTACTACAATCAACAAAAACTGTAACTCTCGCTTTGGAAATATAAATAAAAAGGATGGTACAGATTGGAAAATTGGTCAGTGGAAAGATAAGAAGACATCAATATTCAAAGATGAATATTAAACAAAGAATATAGGAGGCAAAGTTACTGTGAAGCTTAGAAAGAATTACCTGTGGCTCAGGAATGCAAGTCACTCACAGCAATGATCACACAGAGGTTATCATGTGAACAGTGTTAGTAACACACGAAGACTAAGAGGAAGAAAACCTCTGACCAGAGGAAAATGGGAAGCATCACAGCTCACAAATCCAACACAAGAGGCCAAGACAAATCACATGGCAAATAATTCTAAAACAGACAGTCTTTAAGCAAACTCTTTACCTTATACATGTTAATAGGTCTTAATCTTTTAAAAATAAATCTATAGGGCAATAGTAACTACACCATTCAGTCATTTCTCTTCTTGAGTTTCCTATTTAGTCACAAGTTAAAGTTCTCCTATGATGTAGGAGGAGTGGAACGCTATTTATGCATCACAATTGACAATTACATAGTCTAAAGTGAGCCTGCCATCCCTTCAGGAAGCAAAGATCTTAACTGGAGATGAAGAGGACAAAAAGCTCACAAAGAAAAATTTAGAAAAGATTTGCCAAGGTCAGGAACTAACGTTTCTGTCAGCTTTTAGCATTCCTCACGATGCATGCTTTCAGGGCTAAATTTCAACTACTATCTTCCCATGTGTTTAATATCAGAAGGAAAGAATACCAGGTGCTTCTACAAGAGAAGGTAGCCAAAGATTCAGCTTTTACTTATAAGGAATAAGCAGAGTATTTAGGCTTCTTATACAAAGTTAAAGGAAATAAAAGAACAGATTGCTTTACGAGATTATTTCTTCAAGTATACACAGTAGACTAACATAATGTTGTTCTTCTGTTACTTGCGGATGGCATAGCACTCAGCACTAAGAAACACGAAGCAGGGGTCTACAGAAGCTAATGACCGGGATATGTAGGAAGAAGAGCCATAACCTTTACTGCACTGGAGAAAAAAGCGAGGGGAAAGAGCAGCTAACTTCCAGAAACTCTAAAACTAGGTGTGACTTTATTTTTTCTATTCAGCCCTCATGGAGGGGGAGAAATTGTAAATGGCTGTGAAGAAATAATGAACAGATGGTATTGAAAAGTCACCGTCTGTGCATTAGGAGGCTGTGTGGCCCCAGAGCATCTCCTATCCCAACTGGTGGCTGAACTGTGTCTTGTCTGCACACTTGTTTGGAGAAGGGAAGACTTCCTCTGAAGATAAACTGTCATTAACACTTTTTCAGATGTAAAAGAGAGGGGTAGGGAGAAACTGTCATTACTAGACAATTAGATTTCATTAAGAAATAAGAATTCAATTCCATTAAGAAATAATAATTATTATTAAATAGAAAAACTCTGCTTTGCTTTATTTATAAGAACTACTGATACATAATCTAACAATAAAACCGTGTGTGTGTATGTGGTGTGTGTAAGTGTGTTTGCACGTCTGTGTCTAGTAATGACAGTCCATAACATTTAGCAACAGTGTTTGAAAGTGATGACAGCGAGGAGGAGGATGACAACAGGAAAGCAGTTTGTTCTTTTTTAACATTGTGAAAAGCTATTGTAGAAGTGTTGAAGTGTGAGGCTGGAATCTAAAGCTGTCATCTGTCTCATCATGATGACTACACTCAAGCTTTATGTGGTAATTCATTTGTTACAGACTGGCTTAGTCTATAGTCTTATTTGAGAGGCACTATTTAGGAGGAAAAAGCATAAATTTAATTCTAAACAAATACATTTTTCTCAAGATAAACTATGTAATATTAATGCAAGGGTTCTTATTCTGGGGTTCATATATCCCTGAAATTACATGCAAAATTGTGTGCCTATATAACATTTTCTGGGAAGAAGGTCCATACCATTAACAAAATTTTCAGGGAGTCTAGGACCCAACGAAGTGTAAATTCTTAATTCCAAGGGAGCCAGGGTCAAATAAGAAGTATGGCTGGTGAGAAAGGGTAGAGATAGGAAGATGAAACTCAATTTTAAAACCCCCCATTGAAGATACCGCTTCCCTCAATTCTCTTCTTCCTTACTCTAAACTCCTAGCCACATTCACATTCTTCCTCCAAAGCACAAAAGGAAAACAAGGGTAAAATTCATAACTAGTACTGGAAATACCTCACGAATACAAATTAGATACTTGGTATAACTTTTTTCAACATAAAAGACTGAGATTAATCAGAATCACATTAGCTTCACATTACTCTCATTTTGTCTAGCTTAAAAACACTTTTGCTTAAGATACAAATATAATAATAGACTGAGGAGAAAGTTTGGGCAGATGTGAATATACGGTTTCAAATCAAACAAATGCTGAGGCAAAACAGAAGGCAGCGAAGACAAAACAAAGAAGTCACGGCAGCATACAGGCCTGGCTTTAAAAGTAGGTTCCATCATTTATTGCCTGTATAAAGCTCGCCAAATCATTGATCTTTCTAGGCTTCTGTGTCCCGATCTATAAGATGGGGACAATATCTACTTCATGAGCCTATGAGCATTAAATAGTTAAGGTATTTATAGAGAAGAAGCCCTAAATAAATATTAAGTCTTCTTTCCCTCCTCCTACAACAGGTAGCAAAGTACACTAAAAAGAGGAAGGATTTTAGCATCAGAATGTGGTTCATCTTACAGCTCTGCCACTTATTAGCCAGGTAACTCTGGTCAAGTCAGTTAAACACTCCGAACCTCAGATCCTCACCTGTAAAAAAGTGCTGTTCTAGTGAATGTATATAATATATGAAAAAGAACCGGGCATAGTAAGCCAGTCAGTGATAAGTATTATGGTGATGCTGATGCGTATAGTAAAACACGAAGAGCTCATCATCACCAGTTGTCCTAATGGCAAAAACAAAACCCTGATCTCAAAAAGTGTACTTTTTCTTTTAAAGCAGATAAACTAAGATAGAAAATAACCAAAGGATCAAATTGCTTTACATTAGAAGAAAACTTGTTTTCATATATACTTTCAGTTAACTGATTAAATTTTATGATTATGTCCCCCCCTCAACACATAAAAAGTGATCCTGTTCATTTGCTACTAGTAGGATGGGCCCTCAGTTGTGATTACAATATTGGAAGTAAGTTAATGCTCTCTTACCCGGTCCATTCTTTGATGAAAGGCACCCGTTTTACAGCTCAAAATGAACAAAGCGAAACAAAAGAACAAGCTAAATAAAGTGTGTTATCTGTTCCTGAAACAAAATTCTGCGCTTTGGCCTCAATCAGCACCAGTCACATTCGCCTGAGAGGGGCGGGGGGATGACAGAGCAGAACCATGGGAAACTCAGCAGTACTGAACGGACCTACACCATGTGTAAGCCACTGTGCTGGGTGTTTCACAGACACTGTCACTGAATCCACAGGCTCACTGTGCAGGAGCAGTTCTTCTTATCTGCAATTGGTAGATGAAGAAAGTAACTAGCAGAGATCAATTTCAGACCCGGGTCTGTTTGAATCCAGGACCCACAATCTTCCACTAAACTACACTTCTTACTAAAATTGCAAATAAATAAGAATCATGAATTGTAAAGCTTCACTTTTTAAGAATCATAAATAACAAAAGCTTCCCGTCTTTCTGAAAGCAAAAGAAATTCTTCTGCTGTCAGTACTAAAATGTTAATCTACCCTGTAGCCAAATGGTGGTAAATAACGAATGAAAGGCGGTGTTGCTGCATTGTCAAGTCTAAAACATAGGAAGATGTAACTGAAAAGATGAAAATATTCACTTTACAAACCATTTTCCTATTGCTGATCCTCAAGCTAACATTCTTAAACTTATGCAGCTATAAAAAAGGTAATTTTATTTGGTTGTTTGCTTTTTGTCTCCAAAGAAAACAGATGTGACTTTGGGGCACAGGAGGGGATTCATTCAACTTTCCCTTAACAAGATGTGAAAAGACACAAAATAAAAACACAAAGTAAAAATAGTGCATTTAGAAGTATACCCATATTCAAATTATATAATCTGCTCATATCTTTAATAAATAAAACTTAATTTCATGTCACCAATAACAAAAAATTGAATTTCAAAATGAAAAACAAATATTCCATAAAATATGTTTGGCACATCTATTGTTGGATCAATAGACAATACTTTTAAAAATGTCAAGTTCAGAACTAACATCTTTGGCACAGAATAACCATATTATACTAATTTTTTTCTTCATATCTATAGTTGTTATATCTTAGGAAACACGACTTACCTTTTACTTTAAACAGCTGTGTGATAAACCACATTGTAAGAGCATTCAATATTAACAGTTCTACAACATTCAGAGCTGTCAAGGGTTAGTCAGACACATTTTAGGCAATGATTTCTATATATATTTAAGCCTTTTCCTCGCTAATAACAAATGCATTGCTTTTAACAGTCACATGAATATAGGTAAGTTTTCAATGTAACCCAGAAACTTACTCCCCTACTTAGGAGCTAAGTAAAGATTCACTTTTATGATTTACACAGTAGGCAAATTAAACAGTACATAAACAAAATGATTTCAAAATATTGTTCATATACACATTTATTTCACTTTCTCAGAAAAAATTCTTAAAATATCTAAATGTCTGTATCTTAAAAATGAATTCTGAGTACTCACCGACTGCATGCTTCCTCCAACCTGTTGAAAAACCATCCTAATTAGGCACTTAATCCAGCCCAGCATTTAGATGGCAAGGTCTCTCCAAATTTGCATCTCAAGTACTTCAGGCACACATAGCAGCACATGGTCCATAAAGCACACTAAAATGTTAAAATGCAATTACTAAAACGAAATAATTATTCTTTAGAATCTTTACTATTTGCTACATGTCTCACAAAGTAAGTCTAGTCAAAAACATGTTAAAACTTTGTGTGTAAATTTACTTAAGAGAAAACAAATTTTGCTTGTGATCAGTTTGGAATAAATATTACGATTTTTTTTTTACGTATTTTTTTTTCCAGTCAGGGTTCTTAGAGCTGGAAGCAACGAAAACCGACTGCAGCAAATTTAGTAGAAAATATATTTATGCAAAGCTACCTAGTAGATGATCACTTCAGGAGGAGCTGACTTACAGGCTACCCAGCCAGGAAAGGCAGCCAAAAGTGCAGCAGGCCTGGTCCTGGGAAGACACCCCTGGAACTGCCACTGCCGCCGCTGACAGAACAGTCTACCCTTCCCACTCTGCTGTTTCACCAGCTCACGGCGGCATTTACTTGGCAGAAGCTGCCTGGCTATGGTTACAGCAGGTTTTGCCTCGCACCAAGAGTCATAAAGGAATACCAGGAATATGGAACAGGAATTCAGATGCTAGAAAGTCAAAATAACGACAAAAGTCCTTTCGCACTCACTGGCACTGTAACCCCTGCCCCGTGCGCGCTCCCCATCAGTATACTGCATATCTGACAAAATTAAATTGTTAACTCTTATGCTGTAAACCAGTTTACTCAAAGTGCTGGTCTCCAATGAGGCAAGGAGCTTGCACGAGACTAAATCCATCTGCTGCTTCCTCATCAAGGCAGTCAAGTTTGCTTTAAAGAAATAGCTGAGGGGCTGTCCCGGTGGCATAGTGGTTAAGTTCACACTCTGCTTCAGGGGCCCAGGGTTTGCAGGTTCAGATCCCTGGGACGGACCTAGCACTGCTCGTCAAGCCATGCTGTGGCGGCATCCCATATAAAGTGGAGGATTGGCACAGATGTTAGCTCAGTGACAATCTTCCTCAAGCAAAAAAGAAGAAGACGGGCAACAGATGTCAGCTCAGGGCCAATCTTCCCCACAAAAAAGAAGAAGAAAACCCAGCTGAACAAAACAGTGTACTTAGCAATTATATTTGATTTACATTCTGATGTAAGCTCATCCCATCATAGACCAGGAATAAAGAGTTTGTGGTCTACATTTTGAGAACTTTATGAACAATTACAGAGAATGGGGGAAAAAATAAAGGTGCCACAAATATGTGAGACAATGGGTGAAATATGAATTGAAAAGAGCCAGGCCCCAATGAGAGATGAAAGTATGTAAGAGAGTCCTAAGCAATGGCAAGAATATATTTATTGATAACTATGAAATGGTCATGACTAGAACTTTGGTGAGACAGATATATTTTAATATCAACAACATTTATCATTGCTTGTAAGAATGAATAATACTCTGAGAGTTAACGGGAGTAGAAAAAGTAAAGGGCCAAAAATAAAGTCAAAGCTGGAAATGACTGACAAAAAACCTGATCAGAGGAGCCAGCCCCGTGGTGTAGCAGTTAGTTCAGCATGCTCTGCTTCGGTGGCCTGGGGTTCACGGGTTCAGATCCCAGGCGCAGGAAGACC